CCATACCCCACTTCCTTGCAAATCAACCCGGATCAAAATATTCGAAAAAAGTAATCTTCTGAAGTTATCTTTAAATGCTACAAGAGGATCTATGAACAAATTCAAAATTTCAATTATTCATAATAATACATTAACATCTTAACCAATGATTCTATGGATGCCCCCCCCCCTCGATCAAATATATTTTCTTTGCACCAGACATATTTATAATTTAATCTATAAATCCTTCAAGAGAAGACTTTAAACCCGGTTTAATCACTGATATATGTATTACAGTCTGCACCACAGAAAACATTTAACTAACGCGAGTTCACCAAATGTTAAAAACAGAATATAACAAATACGCAGTTTCCCAACTTTTAGTTTAAATATTGAAAACAGGTCTCGCCAAAGTTCAATTACGCAAGTGGTGTCTAAAATTAGTATATTTCAAGAACTTATCTTTAAAATGAATAATCGCCTTATCTATAAAAAGCTTTGTTGGATTATCTCTCTATCTATCAATGTATCTATCTATCTATTAATTTTTTATCTACGCAGAAAGCTAAAAAATTTATTACTATTCAGGGGTGTATCATTTCTTGAACCCCCCCCCCTTCCACCTTAATTTGGTTTATTAAGGGAACAACATTTTTTGTTGAAACTTGAATTTTTCGGGATAAAGTTAAAAAGTAAAAAATCCTTCAAGTCAATACTGCCGCCAGTGGTACTAATTCTTGAGAATATAATTGTTTGTAATATTTTTTGTTCACCCCTGTTCAAGGATCATATCATAATTTTACGACTAAAAAGGAGTGACTGTGAAATTCTCAATTGCGTCGAATTTACATCTATCAAATTATCAAACCCCCCCATGATTACCAATATGATAAGCATGATGAATCATGACTCACCTTTTCGTGGAAATCTATTTGAACTTTTTTGAGAGGTTCCACCTGGAAAACCAGTTTACTCTGGAAATAGGATTAGTTCAAAAGAATGTGCATTGTGCACGTGATTACTAGAGATCTTTTAATTTTGGAGTGGCATATCCGATTGAGAAGATTAATCTTGAAATTTGTATCCAAGTTTAAGAACTAGTTTCTGTCGGATATTAAATTCTGTATTTCATTTTAAGGGTGTTAACTCAATAGTTTTAAGCAGTGCTTAGGATCCGGATCCGAATCCGGATCCGTTGGATCCTTAAGATTTTGGCTTCCTGGATCCGGAAAAATTGCGGATCCACGGATCTGGATCCAAGGGGAGAAATATCCGCCAAAAACTGCAAACAACAAATTTTTACTCTCAAAACCCAATTCTTAACTATTTAATAAAGAGAGATTTTAAAAATTTCCTGATTTCTGTTGGTTCATCAAGTTTTAGCATAAAAATAAGACAACAAATTTGAAAATTCTGTTGGTTTTAGTGTGACAACTGATTAAAGGGTTCCGTTAATCATCGGAACTGTCACAAAAAAAAAACTAGATAATGCGTCTTTTCTGATTTATTTAAATTAATTAGGAAATTTACTAACTACGTCGTTTTTGCAAACAACCAAATATCCATCCATCCAAATTCAATTTATTTGTTTCTGAAGTAAAAATAGGAAATAAGTTATTAAATAGATATTTAAAGGAATGAGTAACTAAGATCAACCTAGAAATCTGAGTAATGCAAATGGCTGAGTAGTTGGGATGTGAATACATCCCTACTTAGTGAAGCGGATAATTAAGATGTACCTTTTTAAAGAGATTTTTTCGATGAGTCAGGGAAAATAATGGGGGGGGGGGAATTAATGGATGTTTGGGTAAAAACTTTCAAAAAAGATCCGTATCCTTTACACCGCTCTAAGAAAGTACTTAAAACAGTCCAAATTAGCGTGATTCGAACTTGTACAGCTTCCCGGATCCGGATCCGCTAATACTTTTATTTTTATTATTATTACTAAAATTATTACCTGATCATCATTTACAATTTTTTGTCCAGGAGTTCCGTTCGTAACATTCCGCTGCCTTAGTCCGGACTCGGAGAGATGCCGTTCTCTAAACAGAAAATAAAATAATAAACACGGAATATATCCTAAAGGTGTGCAACAATTCAAATCGGGAATAATAAAATATTAGACCAAAAACTTTGCACTCAGGTGGTGGCAGCACTTACCTCTTCAATTGTCTTAGCCACGTTGCTTTAGGCCTTTCTATTTTAAAACCACAACTTAAATTTCAGACACATTTGCTAAGTATTTTATTCCACGTAACTTCCAGAGTAACATGTTTTCTTTCAAGGGAGTGACCGGCAATGTATAGTGGTTGAGCTGAGTATGCAGTATTGTAGAATTTTTTTTTAGGATTCATGAGACATATAAAAAGTTTCCACGATGTATAATTACTGAGTTTGAATGCAAAGTCGACGTTCAAAATCATGAATTGGGTGGGTACGTTTTCAGAATTGGTTTTTTAAAATTATTAAATAAAAACGACAAAAAACATAGTAAAAATTCTTTCGTAAACTAATTAGATGTATAGGAACATATTTCTCAAAAAAAATTGTTAATAAATCAATGTTAGAATCAGTTATTTCGTTTTCATCATTATATTGAATTTCTTATTTTCTATGAATTTGTTCGCAGATTTCTAAAAATTCTTCAAATTAAATTTTCAATTAAAATTTTAGAAAATCACACAAAATCTTTGTGAATAATCAGATTTAAGAAACTAATAATTGAATAAGATTACTTATTTTCGATGATCAGAGTTAATTTTTATTTTCTCAACCTGTTCCTAAACAGCTAATCAGTTCACTGTAGAATTTATTTTACATTTTTGTCGTCGTTATTTAATAATTTAAAAAAAAAGGTTCGTACTCATCACCCAAATTCGTGATTTTAAACGTCGACTTTACGCTCAAATCCAGTAAATATACGTTTTAGAAACGTTTAATAAGTCTCAAATGAATTCTTAAAAATGTGTCCACAATACTACATATTCAGTTCAACCACCATACATTGCCGGTTACTTCCTTTACAATAACTCCCCCCCTTCAAAACTTTTCTTTTCTTTTCCATTAGTATCTCGTTTGATCGAGATACATGAGGAAGCTTTTGTTTCTACTACTGCTTACCTTCCTAGTGTGATGCTATAAACTTGACAATATTCATTGTGACCAGCTGCTACATACACCTTAATCAATCAATCAATCAACCAATCACTCAATCAATCAATCAACAATTAAAACTTTTTATTGTTTATTTCTTTTTTTTAACTTGACAAAATGATTCCTAGTCAAATCAAATCAAATCATAAGTTGTAGGGATGGCCAAAGGCTCCAGTTGTGGATCGGAGTTTCAAGTCCTCCCCATTCCTGGTTTTTCAGCCCTGGCCTTCTGTTTAAACGGTAAAATATGCGTCTTATCCTAATCTTTGTTTACTTTGTATTTGCGAAGCGCCCAGCCACACGACCCCACATGCCCCAATTTAGAATACCTAACATCCAAGGATTGCTACACACGGTTTGTTAAGTTTGGATGCTGGGTATTTCCCTAACGAGTTTAACCATTTTTGTTAAGTTGTTTAATCCAGTTGAATATTCATATTTAATTATCATTTGTTTTGGTTTCCAGTTTTATCTTTGATCATTCTAGTAACATGAAATAAGCATAAACGAATATATCCTAAGAAAAATATTTTGAGAAGTAAAATTAACTTCGTTTCGTTCCTTATTCGTTTAATTGGCGTAGAATAGCACATACTTTTGCCAATAATAAGTTAAAACTCCTTTGATAACTTACTTTGAGAGGTTGATTATTGTTAATATTTCCACGAGCAGAGAGAGACATCACAGAGAACTCGCCAGTGTAAAACCTAAAACGTACATTAGCCCATCATATTATTTGTTGTCTGGTCATATTTTGTAATTATTGCTCGATAAAAATATTTTAGGAAAATATGATTTTGTCGGAAATATTAGTATTTAAGGGGAAATATTAGTATTTAAGGGGAAATATTAGTATTTAAGGGGAAATATTAGTATTTAAGGGGAAATATTTAATCTTTAATTTAATCCAAAAGAATAAAATCATTTCTCTTTATATTGAAGAAAAATATATATATATATATAGACAGGCACCTCTGACCCTTCGGTAAAAGTAAATTTAACCTAAAGACAAACCGCGTCAACCTTGTTGCACCGGCTATTTCTATTGAGGGTCTGCTTTTTTACCCAATGTTCGGGCGATGCAGTACAAACTGGGACCGGAAAGGTTGACCCGGCTCGGAAATTCAAGTGAACTACGACTGCACGTGTAGAGTGAATCTTACTAGCTGTTTGTTATAATAGGATAGAATAAAAATCATATTTAGCTTTAAAAATAAAAAATAAAAAATAAAAAATAAAAGATAAAAAAATAAAATAATTTAACAATAAAAATCTAAAAATAATTGAACAATAAAAATCTAAAAATAATACATGAAAAGTGTACACTGTACACTGTACAGTGTACCGTGTACAGCAGTCAGTGGCAATCAACTATCATTACAATCAGATTATTAACCAATCATAGAACATTTTAAATCGTAAAATTTCTGGAAACAATGTTAAATCTTAATATTTCAGGTAATATGTTCTACTTTTGAAGTATTCATATTTGATGTTATCCAACAAAAATATTTGATTGAATTATTTAAAGAAAAATATTAAAAAATGTGTTGAGTTGGCATTTTAGAGATTTGTTAGAATGAACTGGATCGGGATAAAGATCCAACTATTTCCAAGATCCGGATACGGATCCGACTGATAATGGAATGGTTTCTACCTGCAAACACTAGTTCCTATACAGTTCTCTCCGTCCGTTGTTATCTCAAAAATCTGGAATCCATTCTTAACTCCTGAGCAACAAATTTGATCATCTTGTTTTTTTCCAACTTTTACAGGAATTGTCGACATTTTTACAGACCTCCAAACAAGAGCGGTCCATGCTAGATTTACATCGATACCCTTTTACTCTTCACCGGATTAACATAAAGAAAGATATCTTAGTTTTATCTCCAAACAGGTTTAGATTCTTTTCTCTCCCTTTCATTTCTCAATGAGTCACATTTTTATAGAGAACCGAAGAACAAAGAAAAAAAACATATTTTTGGTTAGACAAAGGTTAAGAGTGTCCCAATCTGAATTTATTCATTTGTTTTTGAACTCATCTAGGTCGACATACCTTCACTAATGGACAAAAGTTTAAGTTTTTTTCTTAGACTAACGTTCCACAAAAATACCTTTCAGAAAGTTTCTATTTTTTTCTTTTTTTGCGATAATATTTTATGATTGTGAAAGAATAAGAAACTGATAATATTTGTTTCCTGTATTAGCAGATCCACCTCCCCCAGCCACCAATATATGACGAGGAGATATCTATAAATCAATGAATGAATCAATCAATCAACCATCCAATCGATCAATCAATCATCCAATCGATCAATCATCCTTTCGTTCAATCAATCATTCCTTATCCGATCCATTGTTATCCGCTCCATCAATCATCCAATCGATCAATCAATCAACCAATCGATCAATCAACCATCCAATCGATCAATCAATCATCCAATCGATCAATCAATAATCCAATCAATCGATCAATCATCCTACCGTCAATCAATCATTCCTTATCCGATCCATTGTTATCCGCTCCATCAAATAATCCAATCGATCAATCAATCACCCAATCAATCACCCAATCGATCAATCAATCATCCAATTAATTGATCATCCAATTAATTGATCATCCAATCTATAAATCATCCAATAAACCAATCATCCAATCAATCAATCATAAATAAACCAATAAGCCAATCATTTAAGAAGGCTACGGTTTGAAAACCTACCATTGCAGCCCCGTATAAAGGGAAATCTACTCGGCATAATAAGCTTCCTTTCTCCGTTTCGCTCATTTTTCTGAAAATTTAAAAAAATGATTTAATAACAATGTCTAGATTCTATCCTTCCTTTTCCTTCCGGTATATTTAGAGTCGGGTCTAACTTCTTTTCCCTTCCGCCGAGCTCGATCCTTCTTTTCCTAGAAATAAAAACAAATAGCAGTAGTGAAGCTGTATAATGCCGTTTTTGCAGAATTTACTTGCGGGATTTGAGTCATTGACACTGAACAGTGAACAACGGTTAACTTGCGGTATTGAAGCTGCATATTTGCGGCATTTTAAATTTTAAAAAACCAACAAAATAATTTTACCTTAATCCAGTCTCTGCTCCCCTTCACACCCTTCCCTCCTCTCATTCCCTTGACTTTCTCCCTCTTTAAATATATTTAGATAAATAAATATTAATTATCCGCAGTCATAATTATCAAATTTAACAGTGCTATTCCTTGCCTTTTTCTGATTTATAAACTGTACCCTTTATTTAAAACTCTCATTCGCTTTATAATAGGCCAAACTAATTAAAACAACCTACTCTGGTCAGGCGGGTTCTAACTACATAGTAAATTGTGATATTAAAAAAGTTTTTAACTTAATCCATTGTACTTTCTTCTTAACAGATTAATTATTAAGCTATTATGCTTTTTGAAAAGATTAACAATTCTAAAATGACCTCGGGGATGAAAGTTACAAAAAAAACCCTTAATACAAAATTAAAACATAAAAAGCGTGAAGAGACAGGGGCCTAGGGAAAATTTTCTCGAAAATATATTTCAGTAAATTATGAAAAATGATTAAAAAAGTACCTGATGTTCAAATCTAGCAGCGCCACCCTCCTCCCCAGTACCCAGGGCTACAGGCAGAGGCTGGTTACCTCCAGTCATTAGAACTAGATAGATAGATATTTAGAAGGATAGGTGGATAGTTAAATAGATAAATAGATAGATAGATAACCCTCCTCCCCAGTACCCCGGTTAAAGAATAGATGAAGATTATTTCATCTCGTTTAAGAATTTCCATTATTACATTTTTTCCCCCCACATAAGATTATCATATTATCATTATTTAAGGCCAACCCTTGGTTTAATGAAGAATGGATAGAAAGATATGTAGAAAAATATAGCAAAGAACGAGATTTGGGAAGTACATGATAACTCAAACAAATTCTTATATATCTGTATATTTGGAAGTACATGATAACTCAACCAAATTCTTATATATCTGTATATTTGGAAGTACATAATAACTCAACCAAATTCTTATATATCTGTATATTTAGAAGTACATGATAACTCAACCAAATTCTTATATATCTGTATCTAAAAATATACAAACCTAGGAAAAATTTCTTTGCTTTAGAACTGTTTGGATAATCAATTAGTACTCCACCAGTAAATCCTGCTCTCATAGACTTTTAAGAAAACAGATTATATTTCTGCTAAAGGAACTGTGTAAATTCTGCTCTCATAGACTTTTAAGAAAACAGATTATATTTCTAGTAAAGATACTGTAGACGTAATTTCAACAACACTTAATTTACAAATCAAAACAAAGATAAATAAGCTGAAAATTGATTATTTTCCAAATAGTTTCTCCATGTAAGTGATTTATGCAGCAGAGATAATAAAGATAACTGTCAAAATTCAACACTTTCCAAGAAAGAAAATTTCTTTCTCGCTGTTTATCAGATAAAAGTTTGACGTTCCATAGAATCTGTGTTCCTGAGTAGTAATTAATTCAATCTGATCTGGGTTCTCAGGATAGAATTGGAACACTGCTCTACTCCCTCTACAAGTACAAGTAATTAGTTCTATCTGATCTGGGTTCTCCGGATAGAATTGGAACACTGCTCTACTCTCTCTACAAGTACAAGTAATTAGTAAAATCTGATCTGGTTTCTCAGGATAGAATTGGAACACTGCTCTGCTCCCTCTACAAGTACAAGTAATTAGTTCAATCTGATCTGGGTTCTCCGGATAGAATTGGAACACTGCTCTACTCCCTCTACAAGTACAAGTAATTAGTTCAATCTGATCTGGTTTCTCCGGATAGAATTGGAACACTGCTCTACTCCCTCTAAAAGTACAAGTAATTAGTTCTATCTGATCTGGGTTCTCAGGATAGAATTGAAACACTGCTCTACATTCTACAAGTACACAATATTAAGTACACTCGCACCCGCTTTAATCGTTGTTTATTGTTCTTAGTTAAAAATTAATTATAAATTAAGATTTTAGACTTTTTCTTGACGTAGTGCAACCTTTCTGTAAGTTCTTAGTTTTAAGAATCTATTGGCAAACTGAAATATTATTTTAGCCAGCTATCAATTCAAATTCATGGGAAAGGATAATCGATTTCCTCCTAATTTATATCTTTACTCTAAATATATGAAAGCCATGTACAAAATTTGAACTTGCTAGAAATAAATCCGAATTTGTTTCATTTTCTATGGGAGATGGGAAAGTAGGGATCAAACCCTTGAAAAGAACTGAAGAAAGAAAATGGCCACAGACTAAATTAAAACTGTAAGAGTCAAGATTTTTACTAAAAATTAGCTCGAGGCGCTCTAAAGCTTTTTCACTTGATCTTTATTAAATAACTCAAGTTTTTATACTGGAAACTCGTGTTAAAGTACCTGGAGAGACAAGCATAAAGTGTAGAGAAGAATGTATATAAACGTTTCCCTGGTTTATGATAAGATTTGTCCCTATTACACAACCACTGAAGAGCACTGAAAAAAATGTTTTAACAAAAAAAAATTTTAAAGGAAAATTTTCCCTTTGGCCAAAAATAATAGGAATGTTCTTGTATTCTCTTGGCAAGATTATTGCAGATTTATGCAACACAGTCAAAAATGGCAACTAATAGAAAATACCGCTATTAAAAACAGAAAATACCGCTATTAAAAACAGAAAATATCGCTCTTAAAAACAAAAATTACCTCTATTCAAAACAAAAAACGACGATTTCTTTCTAATTGTTTTTCAGGTAAATTCTTAAAGGGTACCTTTTGAATCGGGCCGTGACTTTAAATTGCGTCACTTAAAAAACGTTGACAGTTCCTTTAAAATTCCCCTGTTTTCTACCTAATACTAAGGACCAGTCCCTTTAAAATTCCCCTGTTTTCTACCTAATACTAAGGACCAGTCCCTTTAAAATTCCCCTGTTTTCTACCTAATACTAAGGACCAGTCCCTTTAAAATTCCCCTGTTTTCTACCAAATACTAAGGACCAGTCCCTTTAAAATTCCCCTGTTTTCTACCTAATACTAAGACCAGTCCCTTTAAGTTTCTATGTTTCCTACCTAATACTAATAGCTCCGTCAAACATACCAGCTCTAAAGGGTAAACCTTCTCCCATATCTCCAAGCAATAATGCACCTTCAGTTTCACGCTCCTTAAATGGAAAAATAAAATCCTTATCATAAGCCGGGTATTTGGTACGCAACAATTTGTATTGATTGATTTAATTAATTATTAATAATTTCAAACATTGATCTCTACATCAGCTGAGCTGAAAACATAGTTGAGGTTTTAAAAATCTTAAGATAGATTTAATCTCACATTAATATAATGAAAAGTATCAAAAATGCAAACAATCAGTGTCGATTGTAGAAACCGAACAGCCAATCAAAGCTGAGAATTTTTGAAATTGTTCATGAAATCAAAGAGAGAACTCGTATTAGTCGAAATCCAGCAGGGATATTCAAATGAAAGGATTAGGCTAAAAAAGTGTCCATAATTGATACAGATATTTAGCAATCGGGAATAAGAGTATCAAATACAAGAGTTCTCAGCTCTGAATGAAATAATAATAATAATCGCGGTCAACCGTTCATCCGTAGTGTTCAGGCTTGAGCTCCCGTATATTTAAGATTGTGGTCTAATGGATAATTTTTTATATAACCTTCTAAAANGGGGGGGGGGGGTATTTAGAAGAGGGGAGGGGAAAAACAATTTTTTATGATTAAATATTCTTAAAATTATTATTTAATTATTAAAATGTGTGATTAAAAATACATGATTATATTGCTGGAAATTAAAACAATTAGGCATGCCTAATTCACAACAGTACCCTTCAACCCTTTGTTTGGTCAATGATGATTGTAAAATGTGATGACCTTATTTATTCTTTTCTTTTTAATTGTGGTTTCTCTGAGAAGTGACATACGGATTAGTGTTGCAGGGATGATGAAGGAAATTGTCATAAAGTGATAAGTTTTTAAAATAAAAAAACTTTATTATCCTCATTGTTACTCAGATAGAGCTCAAGAGGGTGCTGTATTAATTCGGCCATGCGCACATCTCTTTACATTGAGCGTTACTTAAAACTGCACCGACAGTTCCTAGTTTAGACAAATTAATTTAACAATGCAACTTTCAAGCAACCCTGAATGAAACCGCCTCTGCAAAAATATTGCGATTTATTCACTATGTGGGGATGGAAAAGGTAAAAAAATATACCTTAGCAATATTAAGCATAGCGGGGGCAATATCCATACCAACCCAATAGTGTCCTTGCTCCTCTATACATTCTCCAGATAGGCCTAGAATATGTAGGTAGGTAGATAGGTAGGTAGGTATATAGGTTGGTAGCTAGATAGGTAGGTACCTAGGTGGGTAGGTAGGTAGGCAAACATGTAGGAAGGCATTTAGGTTGGTAGGTAGGTAGGTTGGTAGGTAGGTAGGTAGGTAGGTAGGTAGGTAGGTAGGTAGATACATAGGTAGGAAGCTAGGTAGCTAGGTATGTAGGTAGATAGGCAGGTAGCTAGGTAATTAAGGAGGTAGGTACGTAGGTAGATAGGTAAGTAGGTGAATGATTAACTACCTGAACCACAACCAAGATCAAGAAGATAACAGGACTCATCCTCAGGTAAAGCAAGAAGTTCAAGAGCTCTCTCAGACATCTCAGATTGAATTGTCATTATCCTAGAATTTTTGTTCTTCTTTAATTTAACATTTCTTATTATTTCCGACTCTACAGTTCAGTTGTACAAGAATTTTCTGATGCAAATTTTTTTTTTTTTTTTTAAAGAAATACAGTAAAGCTAGGTAGGAAATATATTTGAGAAATTATAGGATCGAATCAAAACAAATCAGATTTTACAGGACGCCCTAATTCCAAAGACCAATCTCAAAAATACTTTACGGAATGAAGAAAGAAGTGAGGTCACAATTTTTAACCGAGAATTTGAGCCTTTGATTTTCCTGAGAGCCATGATATCAAAACTCTGTTNCCCGTTTTTTTATACTTGGACCAACGTATAAGAAATTATATAAATTTTCAGCTCCACAGCTAATGATGATCTAGAAATAAACCCTAAAACGTGTCTTGATTATTTCTGTATATAGGGTGGCGTATAAACAATACATTGGTTAAATAGTTCTGCACTTCTATTGTTCCGACGCCTAAAATTAAATTGTGAGACGCTAAAGTGGACAAGTGTACACTTCTCTTAGCAGTTAGATACACCAAGTTGTGTTCTCAGTCCAAAATTTTGAATATTATGTCTTTTTTGAAATTTGTGAACAATTTTTTAAACATATCCAGTTTTCTGTCTTCTTGTTAAATAAATACCTGGTATTGTTTGAATATTTCTCAGCTTCATCGGTTCCGTAAAGCAAGNCCGTTCCATAAAAGATTTCAGGAGGAGCCTAAGATAAAAATAATCCTTAACAGATATTTACAAATAAAGTAAAAAAAATGGTTGAAAAAATGTTAGGGTGAGATAGTCAATGAAAGGCAAAACCAAGACGATATTTAATTCATTCGTGTTATTTAGAGCCTCATAGTAATAGATAACAAATTTGCAAGAATTCTTTTAAATTCATCTCTAGTATAAAAAGTATCGATGTTAGTTAAAGGGTATCAACTAAGAAAACTTTAAAGTGAGTGTTCGCGAAATAATAAGGTATAGGCTTAACCAAAATTAAATTAGGAATCGAATGGTGTCAATTCTTTTTTTTCATTTGAAGTTCCGTAAAGTCATCTTTTTACGTGACCATGGAGATTTTGTATAATGCAGGGTTGTATATTTCTCAGAAATGAATTTTGCTGATTTGGGAAAAATAAATAATTGAGCATAAAATATAGAACTTCTGAAAAATGATTTTCTAAAGGGGAGAGGAGGGGAGGGGGGGGGGACAACAAATAATTTTTCGAGAAATTTTACACCTCTAGAATATTATACCTGGTGTTCTGGTCTTCTACAGGACCCAGACATCTTAGAAATTTAAAATCTGAAAACATGAAAATTACATAACAGAATTTTGAATCCGACAAAGTAAATGCTGAATAGTAATACAGAATACTCTTAGGTCTAAAACTTTACACGATTTAGCAGATACTCTTGTTTAAAACTTGTCTACAAGATTAAGCAAATACTCTTGTTTAAAAATTGTACACAAGATTAAGCAGATATTCTTGTTTAAAACTTGTATACAAGATTAAGCAGATATTCTTATTTAAAAATTGTACACAAGATTTAGCAGATATTTTTGTTTAACAATTGTCTACAAGATTAAGCAGATATTCTTGTTTAAAAATTGTCTACAAGATTAAGCAGATATTCTTGAATTGTCTACAAGATTAAGCAGATATTCTTGTTTAAAAATTGTCTACAAGATTAAGCAGATATTCTTATTTAAAACTTGTCTACAAGATTAAGCAGATATTCTTATTTAAAACTTGTCTACAAGATTAAGCAGATATTCTTGTTTAAAACTTATATACAAGATTTAGCAGATATTTTTGTTTAAAACTTGTATACACAATTAAGCAGATATTCTTGTTTAAAACATACATACAAGAATTAGCAGATATTTTTGTTTAAAACTTGTATACACAATTAAGCAGATATTCTTGTTTAAAACTTGTCTACAAGATTAAGCAGATATTCTTGTTTAAAACTTGTCTCAAAAATTAAGCAGATATTCTTGTTTATAACTTGTCTACAAGATTTAGCAGATATTCTTGCTGAAAACTTGTCTACAAGATCAAGCAGATATTCTTGTTAAAAAATTGTCTCCAAGATTAAGCAGATATTCTAGTTGAAAACTTGTCTACAAGATTTAGCAGATACTCTTGTTGAAAACTTGTCTACAAGATTTAGCAGATATTTTTGTTGAAAACTTGTCTACAAGATTTAGCAGATACTCTTGTTGAAAACTTGTCTACAAGATTTAGCAGATATTTTTGTTGAAAACTTGTCTACAAGATTTAGCAGATACTCTTGTTGAAAACTTGTCTACAAGATTTAGCAGATATTCTTGTTGAAAACTTGTCTAAAAGATTAAGCAGATATTCTTGTAGAAAACTTGTCTACAAGATTAAGCAAATACTCTTGTTTAAAACTTGTCTACAAGATTAAGCAGATATTCTTGTTTAAAACTTGTCTACAAGATTTAGCAGATATTCTTGTTCCAGTTTCTTCTCATGGTCGTCTTCCTCATCTCCCAGATTTCCCGCGTATTCTCTTTAAAAAATCCAATTATTAAATAATATATCTATAACTTAAAACAATTTAAATAACAAATTTATTCTTAAGAATTCTTAGAGCATCATTTAAAGTAAACATTAAAAACGGAATTTCTTATTCAAAATTCCACTCATTCCCTAAGCGATGTGTTTAAAAAAAAATTTATTTTTACGATAGGGGGCAGGGGGCCGGGTGGGCAAGCTTTAAGTTGGGGGAAATGCAATTCCGAGTAGGACACTAAAGTAAGCCCCACTTTTTAACATTTCACTGAACTTTATAAACTAACAAATGTTTTTACTAAAAAAGTTTTAAATAGCAGAAAAATAAATATTTATAAATCACCTGACTGTATCCCTGACTGTCTTAAGGGTTCCTCCTCGGAGATTTAGAATCTGTAGAACACGTTGTTTAACCGTAGATGCTCCGCAGCAGCAGATTTCAAGGATTATATAATCAACATATTGTAGAACAAACAAACCATCTTGTAACCTAGAGATATTCATTATTAATTCGGAGTAATATTTACCCCCCCACCCCCTTCCATATTTTACTTTTATTTCATATATGTCACCCACTTGACAAACAAAACACCTTCTTATTAATAATATTACAATACAATTTCAACTTTATTTTTAATGAGACCGTAGACGTAATTTAAAATAAAAATATTAGGTGGCAAAGCTGATTTTCCTTTTTAAATGGCAAAACTTAATAAGCTATATATTTTAAAGAGTACAATTAATAATTAATTATTATTAATAATTATTTTAAAGAGTACAATTTAAAGAGTACACATAATAATTATTCTAAAGAGTACAATTAATAACTACTTTGCTACTTAATATGGAGAATCATTTAAAATAATTAATTGGAAAAATTCATAATTAAGTTTACCTTCTAACATAAACCTCATCATCATCCAGCTTTTCCTTGGATCTTCTCATTTCTCTTTCCAACCTTGCAACATTAAACAATTAGCAAGAAATAGTCGTTTGAACACAATAACCTATACTTGATGTAAAGTTCATGTAACCTTCCTTCCCGCTACTTTGCTTCCTCGACCTTCCTGTAGTACTTTATATGTAGCTCTAGTAACCTTCCTACTTTCCTACTTTCCTTCCTTCCTTCCCTTTGATCTGATTCCTCTACCTTCTTGTAGTACTTTATATGTAGCTCTAGTAACCTTCCTACTTTCCTTCCTTCCTTCCTTCCTTCCTTACCTTTGATCTGCTTCCTCTACCTTCCTGTAGTACTTTATATGTAGCTCTAGTAACCTTCCTTTTCCTTCCTTCCTTCCTTCCTTCCTTACCTTTGATCTGCTTCCTCTACCTTCCTGTAGTGCTTTATATGTAGCTCTAGTAACCTTCCTTCCTTCCTTCCTTCCTACCTTTGATCTGCTTCCTCGACCTTCCTGTAGTGCTTTATATGTAGCTCTAGTAACCTTCCTACCTTCCTTTCTTCCTTACCTTTGATCTGCTTCCTCCACCTTCCTGTAGTACTTGATGTGAAGCTCCAATAACCTGTCAACTTTCTCATGATCATTCTCAGTAAACTTGGCTAAAAAAAGATAGATATCACCATTGCAAATAAAACTTAATTTGTAAAAATCATCGTTTATCAGAATTTTTTAAATGGGTAATTTCCTGCATATCTGTTCTTTGGAAATCCGCTGCTGAAAGATGTGATTTTTTGCTTACAGTACAGTTCTTGAATAATCTGACAAAACAAACCTAGTAAACGTTCTCTCTATTTGTCTACAACAGTACAGATAGCAATTATTCTAATAAATATCAATCTAGTAAACGTTCTCTCTATTTGTCTGCTAACAGTACAGATAGCGATTATTCTAATAAATACCAACCTAGTAAACGTTCTCTCTATTTGTCTACAACAGTACAGTTAGCAATTATTCTAATAAATACCAACCTAGTAAACGTTCTCTCTATTTGTCTACAACAGTACAGATAGCGATTATTCTAATAAATATCAACCTAGTAAACGTTCTCTCTATTTTTCTGCTAACAGTACAGATAGCAATTATTCTAATAAATACCAACCTAGTAAACGTTCTCTCTATTTTTCTGCAACAGTACAGATAGCGATTATTCTAATAAATACCAACCTAGTAAACGTTCTATCTATTTTTCTGCAACAGTACAGATAGCTATTATTCTAATAAATACCAACCTAGTAAACGTTCTCTTTGTTTTCCCGCATTGTTGCCCACAGTACAATTCTTGAATAAGCTGGCGATTATTGAAACAACATGTTCTTCATGCTCATCTGCAGTCACTCCACCACGCTTAACAATAAAATTATAGTATTGACAAATATATCATGTTTGTGACTTCATCAACCCTCCTCTCCGCAAACATTCTTATCTGCCTCCCCTCTCATTCCTTCGTACCATAATTACAAGAAATGCAGAATACAATTTCAACCCATTTTTCATCTTGTACGTAAAAGAATTGTTATTACCTTAGATTTCTTTGGCGTTTTCATGAAAAGAGGGAAGATGGTCCTAAAAATAGTTTACTTTTTATTTCTAGGTTCAGGAAATGCAATTTGATTAAATGTATTAACTTTCAAATTTAAGTATGACGAAATGTATATTATCTCAAAGGCATCCCCCGCTCACAATGCTAATGGAAATGTCTGGGATACAGTTCGTGCGGTAACCAGCAAACGCGAACCATTTCGGTTAAAATTCAAGATTGCATAATGCGGCAAAAAATAATTCAAATCTTCTGGGACACAAGTTTTAGTTATTAAAGAACTACCTGAGCCCGAGAATATCGACAAATTTAGCTGAATTATTAGCTCCATCTACTCCAGAGATCGCATGGTCTAGAACCCTGGATTCAACATCAAATATAATTTGTACATCACTAAAAAATCATCTTCACTTAACTGTTTAAACCATTAACACATTCGTTTAAAACGTCATCTAAATTAGCCTTTCCTTGTTTAGTGTATTTACTATTTATTTAGTGTCAAATATGGGTATTTGCAATGAGTAATACGACTTAGGGTTTGTATTGTGACGTATTAGGACAGCATTGGAACTAGTTTATATTTTAAATAACAACATTTAATTAGTAGACATAACTGCTAAACGCTCACGCTCAGTCGTGTTAAAAACTGTCTTGTTTTGTTTACATGTGAACACTGTTCTAGTATGAGTTAAAATAAACAAACTTTATCCCTCTGTCCTTACTTCTACCCTCGTTGGTAAGATGTATATTTGGTTTCCTGAGAGCTCCAGTTCTTGATTTCTTCTTCTCTCTCAACATCAAGTTCATCAGCTGTAAACCTTCTCCTTGCAGGAACCTGCACAGTGTAGTGTACATTGTCAAAATGTAGTTTGCGGATTAAAGAAAATAAATTCTTTCATTTTTAAATAAATTTAAAATAAAATTTAATGCTTTCTTTAACTAAACAAAAAGTCTATATAGACTATAGACATTATGTACTATGTTTTATGATGTAAATCTATAAGATGTACTGCACAATCAGGTGCGTACACAGGATTTAAGCCAGGGGGGCAAGTTTTTGCGCGAAGCCCCCTGTTTACCCCTAGGCGATTTTTGCCCCCCCCCCGGGCCTTAAAAATGCTATTATTCTATATTAAGTCTACTACATGTCATCTAAGTAGTCCAATTCCATATTAGTCATAATTCAAGAAATATTCTATAACGTATAATTTAGTTCTGTATTACTCTCCGAAGTCCTAAGTAGTCTCCTGAGACTTCTCAGGGCAGCCCCCCCCTTGAGTACGCGCCTGTGCACATGCCCATCTTGTAAAGTGTACATAGGATATTTTAGCTGTACACATTACCCCTGTACGACTGCACAGTGAAAATTCTGCAATGAACATAGATTATCAGTATACAGCAGAAAAATGTTTTCAAAAAAACTGCAGACAATATTTTCCAAATCAGCAATTATGAAATGTGAATGTAAGTACAAGTAAAGACTAAACCTGTCTCTGTTCTCTCTCTCCAGGAGTAGTGAACACATTGAGTTGAATAAATTCTCCATGTACTCAGATTCTTCCTGAAACAATATTTTTAACAATATTATTTTTCCAGATCTTCTTGTTTAACCAATTTTTTTTAATTCCTGCAACAATAACACTCTAGAAAAGTTTGTGTGCGTGGGGGGGGGGGGGGTTGTTTTGTGAAACTTCTGATATTTACAGCAATTTTCACATTGTAATCAATAATCTACTACCATCTTAACCACACTATTGATTGATTGGTGCTTTTTTAGTATTAGTTCCAACAACACTACTTCTCGCTCTTCATTAATCTAAACCTACGACCAGTTGTTTTTTCTTTCCAAACTTAAAATTAAAATAAGTTCGAATCTTTATGTTAGATAAGATAAGAAAAAGATTATGAAAGATCCCCAACGTGGGATCCCAAGACCGCCATCCGAAGTCAGGGGTCTCAGTCAGGTGCTGATTCCACTACCAATTCAATCCGTCACCCTGATCTAATTCCCCCTACTCTAAAACTTTATATTATTTAGATCTAACCTGTTGATTAGGATCATGACGCTTGTAGTAAGCTAACTGCTGGAGCATACTATCAATAGCTCCCAGCTCTCCTATCATCTTCCTAAAATATGTTGATTAGGATCATGACGCTTGTAGTAGGCTAACTGCTGGAGCATACTATCAATAACTCCAAGCTCTCCTATCATCTTCCTAAAATATGTTGATTAGGATCATGACGCTTGTAGTAGGCTAACTGCTGGAGCATACTATCAATAACTCCAAGCTCTCCTATCATCTTCCTAAAATATGTGGATTAGGATCATGACGCTTGTAGTAGGCTAACTGCTGGAGCATACTATCAATAGCTCCCAACTCTTCTATCATCTTCCTAAAATATATTAATTAGGATCATGAAGCTTGTAGTAGGCTAACTGCTGGAGCATACTATCAATAGCTCCCAGCACTCCTAACATCTTCCTAAAATATGTTGATTAGGATCATAACGCTTGTAGTAGGCTAACTGCTGGAACATACTATCAATAGCTCCAAGCACTCCTAACATCTTCCTAAAATTAGGACTTCGTACATTTGTATATAAATAGATAATAAGCGTGGGTCACGTAATTCCATTTGTAGAGTTGTACATTCGATTCAAAACTATGTTCTTTAATCTTCTTTATGATCAAGAATGCGTAAGATATCCCTGTTTTTAATGCTGAAAATTGATTTTATCAGCTGTGTTACTATGTAAAATTGAACTGAAGATTTAAGCTGCAAAAACTCTCAAGGAATTTTCACTTTTATTGAACAGAAGAACAACTATTTATTCCTCATCATTCTTCAGGTAAAGATTGAACGAGTATCGTAGTGAATCGGAAAAACCAGACAATAAGTGGGAAGTCACTTGAAATTACCTCTACAATCACTGAAAGGACCTAACGTAGAACCATTAAACCACCATAAAACATGAAATAATTGTTTCATTAGGCAATATCAAACACATAGTCTTTCCATCCTTTCAAAGCTAATTTTAATTAACCTTGAATGGTCTCATGAAGAGCCTCTAATATCAAGCACCTTAAATGATTCCAGATTCACAACAATAAACTTGTAACTTTTATCCGAGAATTGAATTGAAATAACAAGCTTAAAGTCAAAATTAAATAAATTATAACACTTCTGCTTTGAAGGGTCACTTTTAATTTTGTTAAAGGTTCTCTTGAATCAAGAAGTGATTAAGCTAAAACATGAAAGCAGAATATGACTGATTTAATCCACTGAAATGTGAAACTTTATCTGTAAGAATAATGAACAAGTGTTACGCCGTTCGTTTAAAATTTCAAGTCAAAATCTGCTGCGCTAAAAAAAAATTGTTTGGCCTTACAATTTTTTAACTGACGATCGACAACTTTAGAAAAAAGTTTCCCTGCGTCGGAATTACCAGACTCAATTTCATGTTGAATGCTGCTTATTTGGAAGATATTGAGATTCGAAGATTTGACCAATATAATCTGTTCTGACTTTTGTTATATCAAAAGTTTACGCTATAACTACTGGAACTTTTAAGCTCAATTTTCAAGCTAAAATTTATATTGTAAAGCAATTAACCGCTAAATTGCGAAGAACTACATATTCGTATTCAAAAAACTAGCTGAAGTGCCCGGCGTTGCCCATGGAATTTTAAAAACCCTTGAAATTTTTTTTTGAATTTTTTAGTCTGTTTCCCTCCAGGGTACCCTTGCGTTTACAAAAAATCAGCCAATTCGGTCCAGCCGATTGGCCCGCTATATGGCTAAAATATAAATATATATATATAGCGAAGAGCTTTATTATACAAAAAAAGTTAAATATTGATTTACCTGTTCTCTGGTTCATTCTGTAGTAGGATAGAAAGGATTTCACTGGCGTATAGTTTATTAGCATCAAAAGGAACTTTAACCTGGAGTAAAGGATTTAATGACTAATAATTAAAAAATTCCACCATAAATGGACTGTGATTGACGAAACCTTACAAAATTTGTATCATTTCGAACATCGTTAAAAGCCGAAAAAGTGATAATTTATGTTTATTTTTTAATTATCACCTTAAGTTTTTTAATCAGCCAAGTCATAAAACCGGCTTCGGCCACCTCCTTACAAACAGTAGGCCTGAACAAAAAGTCAATCAATCAATCAATCAACCAATCAATCCATCAATCAATTAATTTAAATTTCGATCAGAATTTAAGAAAATTCTTTCGGTTTGGACGGAATTTTCCAGTTATTTTTAAATCTATTGATGGCCTGTTCTTCTCGAAAGTTAAGCAGCGCATTTAATTATCAAAATCAATTTATTTTGCATCTATATATATAAAAATATATAAAGTTGTAATCTATGTTTGTTTGTTTGTCCGATCATAACTCAGGAACCCCTGGACCGATTTGCCTCAAACTTTGATTGGAAGACCCGGGAGACCCACGGGAATGTTCTCAGCTTGGTTTTAAGATTCTAAGCTGAGTAAGTCGACTTAGATAGCTAAAATTTTGTTTCCTAGTAAAATCGTTCAAGTGCGGGTAAAAGGCGCGGTTGGAGTAACTTTTAGTCACCTTGGCAGCGCTGGGTTCCCAAGCTAGTTTAAGTATATATTCCAAGTTTATATGAATATTGTACCAGGAGTCATGCTTTAAATATTGGATAATGACACCAGTCAAATATAATTTTTAAAGAATTTAAGAAAATATGTGAAAATATTTATACCAAACTTTAATTTAATGCTATTCTAATTGTCTTATTTTAACATTTATGAAACTATAGTGTACTTTATCATAATTACCCACTAATTACTCATCGTGAATTTCAAAAAACGTGCTATAAAGTTAAATTAGCTGTACATTACAGCACGTGTGCTATAAAGTTTTGATTGGTTCCCGGATTTTCTCCAAAAAATTTAGGAAATTTCCTAAATATTTTTTTCAATTGAAATGAAAATCAAATTTAAATCAACTTTATATCTGGACTTTTGCTTTGTTTCCACAGCCATGGAAATAAGATAAGTACACAAACGTTTCATAAAATTACCTATAACACTATAATTTTGGCACGACGCGACGTGCTATACAGTTTTTGGACAGCAATTTTCTCTATGTCTCGAAGGTTCTCGCCTTTTTAGATTATATTTTGTCCCTTGCTAAAGCTCGGGACAAAAATAAATCTAAAATTCTGTCCAAAAACTTAATAACACTGCGAACCAAAATGATAATGTTATTAATAGTTATTCTATTTACAGAAATTATAATAGCTCGTAATTAAGAATTTGTTCGCTTCATGGAGCCGAATAAGAGTATGGATTTAATTAGTACCTGAATTCTACTATATTCTCGATTATAGCGAGCGCATTGTGTACACCATCCGCCTCCTCCTGTATTCATTCATTCATTCATTCATTCATTCATTCATTCATCCTTTCATTCATTCATTCATTCATTCAAAAGTATAACAATCAAATAATCAACCCAAATCAACTATCAAATCAAACAGAAATAAATCAAATCAAACAATTAAAACAAATAACATGAAATCAAATCAAATCAAACCAAATTAAACCAAACCGAATCAAATCAAATCAAATCCAATCAAATCAAACCAAACCAAATCAAACCAAATCAAACCAAACCGAATCAAACCGAATCAAATCAAATCAAATCAAACCAAACTAAATCAAATGAAACTAAATCAAATCAAACCAAATAAAATAAAACCATACCAAATCATTAACTCTTCAAATCATAGGAGATAGAAATAGAAGAGAATTAAATTAATAAAAATGAATAATTTCCTTGACAGATTCATCTAACCGTTCAATAGCTGCGATCATGAGAGAGAATATCTGGTTATCTGGGTCCGACATATTCTTCAACAAAAGATCAATTATACACTGTTAAGTGTTAATTATAAGAATTACAGCTTTTTAATTAAATTCCTGCACCCACTTAAAACTTTAAGAAAACATTTTTTTGTAAAATACAAAATTTCTCCGCGAATATGACTTTAAAGAGAAAAAAACTCAAAGGCTTGTATGAAGAAAATATATATATATATCTTCTCAATTAACAAATGCTTGGTTTCCTATAACTCAGCGTTCAGGCGATGAGCAGTAGCTTTAACTTTAAGCCTAGAGCGACAGGTAATCATAAAATTGTACGAGACCCATGCTTAAAGATTTATGTCATGTTGTCAAAAAACAAAAACCAGCAGAAATAGGGGTTACAATCAGTGTTAGTGTTGTGTACAGTACACTGTGTAAGTGTCCAGTGTAAAATTTATGTACAATTTATAATATTCTCATTGAAGTTTAAAAATGTGTTGAAGAAAATGATTTCCTATAAGAGCTTGGATTAGAGACTCAGCCCCTTCCTCAGATTCATTTAGTGTATCCACATCAGTTAACTCCTATACAATACTTGGATAGTGTATCCACATCAATTAACTACTATACAATACTTGGATATAAAGTGTATCCAAATCAGTTAACTACTATACAATATATATATATATATATATGTATAATGGATATATACAATATATGGATTCAATTTTTGTATCCAGGTGTCAGAACTCATGTTTTGTAAATCTCAGGATCAAGAATTTATCTTCATATACTATCTAGACCTACTGATTTTTTAAACATGAATTTAATATCATATGGTCTTGAGCCCTTCCCTCCCATATTGGATATCGAGCTCAACCATTGATGATGAACGATATCCATACAAATGTTACTACCTATGATATGATTGTTTTTACAACAAATTACAAAAATTAATTTAATAAAGAATTAAAAGGAACACCACAAAAGAGGAAGATGGAATAGATGTTTGTTTAAATTTGACCTCCTATGATCTACCAGAGCTGGAAACTTGAATGTAAAGATAATCATGATATACACTGATAATATATATAATCATAATCTAGATACAGTTTGATCTCGATGTACAATGTGGGTACCTTTAATTTACAAATAACTTTACCTCTCCCTTTCTATATGTAAACCTTTACCTTTACCTTTACCTTTCCCATTATATATATATAAAACTATACCTTTCCCTTTCTATATATATAACTATACCTTTCTCTTTCTATTATACAGAACTTTACCTTTCCCTTTCTATATATATATATATATATATATATAACTTGACCTTTTCCTTTCTTCCTTTCTTATTCCTCCCGTGATCAAAGCTCCCTTTAACCCCTGACTGGGTACGATTACCATGCGGGATATCGTATAAAGATTATATTAATCTGTAGATTAAGATTAAGATCAAGCATTAAACTCAAATACTAGAGCTCCCAACTGAGATATTTCTAGTACCTGAATTAAATCAATCACGGAGACAGATATATCCGAATTATCGTGACATAATAAACCTAAATAAAAAATTATTAAAAGAAAACATGCTTTTTAGACTTTTTTGATAAGATATTTTATTAATATTCAATTCGAAACAAAGAATATTTATTTTATTTACCTAACATTGAAGGAACACAGTTTAAGTCAACAATTATAGGATAAAAATCCGGAACCGTTGCTATGTTGTGCATTTCCTAAACAATAGATCTAAAGGGACTGTACATCTTATTACGGGTTGAGTCTATAAATGTGCATTTCCTATACAATAGATATAAAGGGACTGTACATCTTATTTGCAGCTTGAGTCTATAAATGTGCATTTCCTTAACAATAGATCTAAAGGGGTTGTAAATCATATTACAGCTTGAGTCTATAAATGTGCATTTGCTAAACAATATATCTAAAGGTACTGTAAATCTTATTACGGGTTGAGTCTATAAATGTGCATTTCCTAAACAATAGATCTAAAGGGACTGTAAATCTTATTACGGGTTGAGTCTATAAATGTGCATTTCCTATACAATAGATCTTAAGGGGCTGTAAATCTTATTACAGCTTGAGTCTATAAATGTGCATTTCCTAAACAATATATCTAAAGGTACTGTAAATCTTATTACAGCTTGAGTCCATAAATGTGCATTTCCTAAACAATATATCTAAATTTAAAATTCAGTGATGGTGATGGACCAAACCTCTGTAGAGTAAAAAAGTAGATGTTAGTTCCACATTTATTGAAAATATATTTCGGTCTGGGTTGACCCTCGTCAGTTCTTGAGATTGTTTATTCACAAAGATTAAAAACGGTACTGTAAATCTTATTACAGCTTGAGTCTATAAATGTGCATTTCCTATACAATAGATCTAAAGGGGTTGTAAATCTTATTACAGCTTGAGTCTATAAATGTTCATTTCCTAACTATGTTCTTTAATCTT